AGCCACCTCCCCTCCTCCACTACTACTGCACCTCCCCTCCTCCACCACCGCTGCACCTCCAGCCACCTCCCCTCCTCCATTACTACTGCACCTCCTGGGCACCTCCCCTCCTCCACCACCAGGGCACCTCCTGGGTACCCTTATCCTACTTGATGTCTCTATCGGTTCATCAATCCTGGGTTTTCTAGACTGAAAAACAGAAAAACATAAAAAGCTCAAGAGGGTCACCCCCAATGACCAAAGGCATCTGACATAAACCCTAATATGAACAAACAGAAAATGTTGAAAACCAGATCAGGCCCAATGTGCATCAGATCAACTGAGAGGGTTTTAACCATTCAAGTCAGATTTGTCATGGACTTTTTTTTTTTAAATCACACTAATGAGACTAGACATTGTCCTACAGAGAGAACTCGTTTGCACCATCCAATGCTCAGAGGCATGTTTAAAGATATTTTGTTAGGAATTGACCCATGCATGTAGGAGTTGGCACTTAAGTAGCATTTGTTTATTCTCCTTCTATCGCTATGCATATATATACATATATATACATAATACTGAAGTCTGAAGTTTATTATAATTTAATTGAATAAATGGTGAAAGGTTGTATACTACACATATATCTCAGAGATATTGTGGGGTTGAGTCCAGACACAGGAATAAAGCAAATATCACAGTATCCTAGTGAATGTAAAAGTTAATGTTTACAGTATACTGTGGTCTGTTAAATGTGCATTAACCTCCCCAAACTGAAATCTACTGCCAATGAGTCAAATCCAACTCAGAGACCACACAGAATAGGGTAGAACTGTGACACAGGCAGCCACATCTTTCTCTATTGGAGTATCTTCTGGATTTGAGCCTTTCATAACAGTCCGACAATCTCCTGTGCCTCTGGGATCCATACTGTCCAATAGCTTCATGAGAAAGCTTGAAATTGAAAACCGCAGAGCTGCTGCTGGTTTTGAACTGCTAACCACTCGGATCACAGCCCAACACATAACCACTATGGTGGGGGAGAAAAGGGGAACTGATTACAATGATCTACATATAACCCCCTCCCTGGGGGGTGGACAACAGAAAAATGGGTGAAGGGAGACATCAGACAGTGTAAGGCATGACAAAATAATAATAATTTATAAAGTATCAAGGGTTCATGAGGGAGGGGGTGCGGGAAGGGAGGGGGAAAAATGAGGAGCTGGTACCCAGGGCTCAAGTAGAAAGCAAATGTTTGCAAAATGAGGATGGCAACAAATATACACATGCGTTTGACACAATGGATGTGCGTATGGATTGTGATGAGTTGTATGAGCCCCCAATAAAATGATTTTAAGAATAGGAAAAAAAAGTTTGATATAGTAGACTTACCAAAAGAGTGAGCATTTGCTCTGGAAAAAGAGTGTCGCAAACTTAAGTTAAATTAGAAGAAGAGAAAAAGATTGTATCTGTGAAGTGCAACAGAATGAGGTTTGCCGGTACTGCATTGTCCTGTGTTTTTGATATCTTAGACCTTCAGGTGAAACTGAAGTCCAAAGGCCTCCCTTTGTCGTCTGCATGTTCAATAGAAACCACGACTGATGCTTTTAATGCTCCAACTTCATCAGTTCCGACGCCCTGTCTCTTTTCCTCAGGGTGCAAATGCTCTGGTCACATACACGATCATCAGTGGAGCTGATGATAGTTTTCGTATTGACCCTGAATCTGGAGATCTGATTGCAACCAAAAGGTTGGACAGGGAGCGCCGTTCCAAATATTCGCTGTTGGTTCGTGCAGATGACGGTCTGCAGTCATCGGACATGAGGATTAATATCACTGTCAGTGATGTGAATGACCACACACCTAAGTTCTCCAGGCCTGTGTATTCCTTTGACATCCCAGAAGATACAACCCCTGGTAAGTCGTTTTTTCCTTATGTGCATTTTATAAGAACCACCTATACTTATGAACTCTGTTTGGTTAGTCTCAAATAATGACAAGTTTTGCCACATGCTGCTGGTTGTGAAAATATGTACTAGATTTTGAACCTTTTAATTAGCCACCTTTAGTATAATCCCCATGCAAATCACAGGCATTTTGAGAGGAGTTGAGGTTAACCATTCCTCTGATAACTAATCTCAGACATTTCTGTTTTGGAAAGTATTTGTGATATGGGTTGGTAATTTGTTCTAATAACAGTTTCCATACCAGTTTCCACTTTAAAAAAAAAGTACATTGTGTGATTATATTGCTCTTAAGAAGGACAAAGAAAATACATGAAAATTTGTGAAGTACATTTATTCACATGTGACTCAGGGCAAGTTGATTCCTTTATTCAGTTTCAATTATTTCTTTAAAATGAAAAAAAAAATCTAATGCTAATTAAAAACTAATTTACAAAATATATGCAATTTTGTTATGGGGCTGAATGATTTATAGTTTCTAGAAAAATATTAGGAGAACCTGTATTCTGAATTACACTCTCGCCTCTTTGAATATTCTTTCCCTTGAATATCCTTGATTGCTTAGGCTGAGTATTCAATATCTATGTCTTTGTTCCCCTTATTTGAAATTCTTCCTTCAAATTGAAATTAGATTTTGCATCATAAGGCTTCTGTTTGGTAACTTCTTTTTGGGGAAAAAAAAGGCAGAAAAAAACACTAAATACTTATAGAGGATCACTTCTCATTGCAGTTCATTTTATTGATTTCAGTTTAACTTCTTACTGCAGTATTGCACTTCCTAATCAAGAAGAGTCGTTTGTACAAATCCCTGTAGCATTTATTTATTGTCTTAATTATAGCAATGAACATGTGAGCTGTATCCTGAAGAGTGGTATCCCAGGGCACAAATGTGTTTTATCATTTGGAAGCCACAATGCCTGCCACTAGCAACGGAGTTCAATATATATTGTCCTGGGATCCCTCAAGAAATTGAAAAAGCCTAATGCTGAGCAGACAACTACTGTCAGATACTGCATGAAGATCTGTTCCCTAGGACAGTTCATTTACACAGTGACATTTGATCCTCTAGGTAGCTGATACATTGCATGCCTATAACTGTATTAATATAACTGTGAATAGAAAGCACATGGATACTGTCTTCATTATATATTCATATAGAAAGTCAGTTCTCTACTTTAAATAATTGTACTGTAGAAATAATGCTTCTGTATTGTCCATTAATGGCATGCTATTGACCTCTTCTTTTTGACAGGTTCTTTGGTAGCAGCGATTTTAGCTACTGATGATGACTCGGGGGTCAATGGAGAAATCACCTACATTGTCAATGAGGATGATGAAGACGGCATGTTTTTTCTGAATCCAGTTACTGGAGTCTTCAATCTGACTCGAGCATTAGATTATGAAACCCAACAATACTACATCCTCACAGTCCGAGCTGAAGACGGTGGGGGGCAATTTACAACCATCAGGGTTTATTTCAATATTCTTGATGCAAATGATAACCCACCTGTATTCAGCTTGAATTCATATAGCACATCATTAATGGAGAATCTACCTCTAGGATCTACTGTTCTTGTTTTTAATGTTACTGATGCAGATGATGGTAGGTACTTTATTTAATTTACCAAAAGCCTAAAACAATTTGTTTGAATTTGTGAATATATGTCTAAAATTTGATTTTGCATTTTGTGAATTTGTGTCAAAAACTGAGGGAAAATTTATATTTTAAACTATATTTAAAATTTATATTTTAACTATTTTAATTAATTGCTTTTTACAAATTTTACCTTTCTTTTTTTCTCCTAATTTTGTGGCATTATTGCAGTTTTCCATAATGTTGAAGCCAAGCAACCATTTTTTAGTCTTTTTTTTCATAGTAAATAAAATACTTACATTTACATGTTTAATTTGAAAGGGGATAAAATTTAGAAAGAAAAGATAATCGCACACCTTAAAGAAAAATACTTTAGTACTCATAACTGAATATCATATTGCTGACTGACAACTGCTAATAATACCCCAGTGGTGGTAGTGGGTAAGAGTTGGACTTCTAACCACAAAGTCAGAAGTTCAAACCCATCAGGTGCCCTAGGGAAAAGATGAGCTTATCTGCTCTTATAAAGATTTACAACCTCAGAAACCCTACGTAGGCTCACAGTAAGTTGAAATAATCTTGACAGCAATGGGAATACTATTTCATTCAAAGGGTCTTTTCAGTCACCAGTGTATACCACAAAGTTAGCAAGTTTGAGTTATATCTATATATATTTAATTTATATTTATTGTAGAAGCATTTGAAAATGTAATTTTACAAGCTTGTTTCTCTGACCTTTGTTCTAAGACCTATTTTATGAACACACATTAAATGCTACATTATACAAATTGTCATTCTCTTATTTGAATTGTTTAGAAATCTGTGACTTGTCTCTTTTCCATTGGATGCAGCTGCATAGCTTTCCAGTGGAAAAGCAGAAGGACAGTCCTTAGATGAGGACATGGGCCCATTGCCTGAGGATGTGTCTAGTGGCACTGGCATGACAACATTAATTTAGAATTTCCTCCTTCTTACTGATTTGGATGATTTATGTAATCTCAGAATTCCATTCTATCTATACGTAGTTTCCTTTGAGGAGTGTCTAGAAATAACAGAAAGGCAGTAGAGATTAAAAAACACAGTATTTTTTAATAGGCTTAATTCACAACTTTGAAAATGATTTCTTTAGAGTGGGAATAAAAGCATATAGAAATAATCCTCTTTTATTCAAACATAATTAATATCGGATGCATGATATGGTTTCAACACAGTTCCAAATATTGTTACTTATATAGTTTCAGTATGAGAACTACTATCATAATAGTATTAACAAAAAATTAATTAAAAAATTGTTGTTATTGACTCTCATCCTTTATATGCAGAGTAGAGTTACTATATGGGATGTCTAAGGATGTAGCATTTTGGAAGCAGATGACCAGCTCTTATGTCCAAGGATTAATAATAGTGACAACCACCATTTGTTTATTTAGTATTTAATTTGTACCAAACTCTAACATAGGAACATTGCACTATTTCTTATAATCTTGCAACTACCTGAGGATTGTCTCCAATTACCCTTTTTAATGCTTTTTAACAGTTGATCTTAACCTCTATTTTGTAAGTTCACTTATCTAGTATCATTACCTTTCATTAGTTTAGCTACTCCTGAAATATGATGATTCTCACTAACATTCCTATCATCTTATTTTTACCAGTGACTTGTGCCCAACTTTTCTGTAATGAAATATCCATGATACTTTTTGTTACTTGTTAATCATGTGTTAGAGGTGACCATTGTTTCATGAATATTTTTCTGCTTTAGAAGGTTAGCCTTAAAGTGTAGGAGAACTCATTAAAATATATATACACATGAAACTTTTCTTGTGAAAAACCAGCTGGAATTCTACAGGTTCGTATATGTAGCTATATGTTCACTATTGACTCAAATATTTTTTCTTAGATATTTTTCCTTTAATTGGACTTAAGTTTCAAGCTACATTTTGCCATTGTTTTAGTTTTGAATACTTGTATCAGAGCAATTTCCTGTAGCTTGGCCTAAAATATAGGACACAGTTCCTATTCCTTTTGAATTTCAAGGATAACGATAAAAATGTACAGGGGTAACTTTATTTGTTAAAAACTGCTAACTCAGTTAAAGTCAATAGTCTCCAAGAAATGAATTTCTAAATATTTTTAAATGATCAATTTACTCTTAATCTTTTAACGAAAGGTTTCTCATGAGGGAATGTTGTCATCCACTTATGGGAAGAAATTTTATATGAAAATACATTTAGCATTTTCTGTTATTTGTATTTTTGTGTTTAAACTTTAAATGATCAGATAACTTGATTATAATATTAGAAGGAAGCAAAATTTTAAGTTTCATGAGAAAATATTTGAAGTATTCATCTCAAACTCCCACAAATACAGTTAAACATTGCAGCAAATTTGCCCATCTTGGAAAGGTTCTTATTTGATAATTATTTTGCTATTTCCTGGGAATAAATTCATATATTCTTCACACTCTTAGGACTCATGAGAGTGATTTTATAATATAGCAATGAAATTAATGCTGACACGATTTATGGGTTTTATATTCCAATGATTCGATGGCTTGTTAAAATGGTTTTGAAAATTATGAATGCTTCTGAAACCGGTTCGTGTACTATAGCTAGATGAGTAGCTAACACTGTAGTTCTTTGGAGAAATCACCAGACTATATTTATGGACTAGGAGGCAATGTGTATATTTTATAACAGAACTATTCATCTAGTTTCATGTATATATTTTATGTTCTCTATTCTTACAATAACTTTTTCACAGGACTGAATTTGAAAACACACACACACACACATAAAATAAAACTGCCAGCAAGAATCATGTCACTCGATCATTTTCGGAACATTGGCAGAAAGTCGGCAATATGAATCATTTTAAGTTTAAAAATCTAATAGGCTATAATCAAAAATCCATTGCCATCAAGTAGCTTCTTACTCATAGCAAGCCGATGGAACGAGTAGAATTGGCTCATTGGTTATTGAGGCTGTAAATCTTCTTGGAAACCCTGCCCTATCTTTCTCCAATACAACAGCAGGCCGGTCAAAACTAGCAGCCAGTTGGTTAGGAGCTTAGAGATTCATCACTGTGCCATGGGGGTTCATTCCAAAACGCGAGCCAAATGCACGGCCATTGAGTCAACTCTGACTTCTAAGTAGGCGATATTAAGCCCATTAAATTCAAGTTTGAACACATAATAGATGTCCTGTAGAATTCAAAATAATACATTTACTGTTTCATGACTTAGATACTCAAGGTAAAAGTAGGGATAGAAAATAAAATCTTTTTTTCTAAAATTTAAATTTTTTTCTAAAAATTAGAAATTTTTCTAAAACTTTTAGAAAATTTTTTTCTAAAAATTAAAAATTTTTCAGTCTAGTACAAATGTCCAGGGAGAATTTCAATATGCCAATGTGCATTTTCTGGATGGAGAGCATAAGCCCTAAGTCAGCCAGGAGTCTTGTTACCAATGAAAAGTCCTTTCCTTACAATTTAGTCAATGGACATGGTCCCCATGGCCCATGATTGTAGTAATTAGATTTCACTTCCTGAGATGAGAGCTGTTTTTACTATTCCAGAATTTTATGCAAAAAAAAAATCACTGTGTGTTTACGCTTATTTTTCCAAAGATAATAATAGTTATTTTTAGTTCATTTTAATGTTATTTCTTAGGATCTTGTATTTGTTGCTATGGGGTTGCATATAGAAACATTTCTTTTTCTGTTATTTTTGTTCAAGTGAAATATTGATTACTTTCCTACCCACACCATGGCTGTTTTGCGGTTTACAACAGGACTGTAAAATCTTGGTATCAGGTTCTTTTTTCGCCTTTGAAATTTAATTCTTTACTCAAGAAAGTAACATACAGGGTGAACTGAGTGTGTTCAGATCCCTGATTTAATTGCTCACATTCCAATTGATTTATGGAAACAACTATGTTCTATTTTTTCAATATTTCTAATATCCCTTGACCCAAGGCATGAAAGATTTTATGTACTTTTACAGCATGGAATTGGCATTGATTTTATTCATATGCTTCATAATTCTCTTTCTTAATAATAATCTTGTATGAATTTGGGCTTACAAAGAATATGGATTCAATATTTACTGATGAAGTTTGTCATAAAAAATGCAGACAATTCCTTTAGAAAGTAATTTTATTGCACACAAACACACACATATGCACATTTTTTACTTGGACCAATTAGTGGAAATTTCTACCCCAGCAAGCCTGTAGAATCTTAAGACAAAGAATAGAAGTAGACTGTTGACCTTTTTCTATTTAGATCTCAAAATTATTTCTCTCCTGCTGCTGAGTTGCTTTTTGACACCCATTAGCTTTATTAATGCTCATTTTCCTTGAACTTCCAACTCTTATCCTGCTGTGTCCTATAGTTTATTTGTAGTCTTAAAGAGACAATACAGGGAACATTCACAAAAGACTCTAGCTTTCCAAAACATTTATTCAGGCCTTGTGTTATCTGAGAACTTTCTGCCAGCAAGTCACTATCTGAAAGTTACCCTCATGAATATGTTACTTTTAATTAGTATATAAACATAGCACACTGTATAAAGGATATCAAGTTACAGAAAAGGAGTAGCATTAGTATTTTAATCGGAATAGGCTACATCTGATAGGACAGACATTACCAAGCTTTTTTAGTAACCATCTTTTTTCAAAGAACTTCAACAAGAGAAAACAAATCCAATTTGTATAGTCATAGGATTTTGAGAAAGAGTATTTTTCAAAGGTAAAACAAAGAAAAATTGTGACTGAATTGTTCTGAAAATCTTTTTGGCCAAAAAAAGGGTGTTAGAACCAGTTAGTGGAATTCAGGAATTCTATAGTTAAAATGGTAACCATATGGAAAATAAATGATAACCTGTTAGCAATTCACTTTAGTTAACAGATTTTTAATACTGGTAGTTATACAAATTTTTACTAAAGAATGATTATCTAGATGAATGATTCCTTAGCATAACATTATATTGTAGGATATTATTCCTAAATTTAGCATATAGCTAATACAAATCTTTATAATAAAATATTAGAATGTACATGAAGACAGCACCATTCTAAGGCAATGAATCTGACTTCTCCGTTTTACTGATTGTCTGCTATTTGCTTTAAAATTAGTGCTTGAAAATACATTGATTTATTCTCTACCTCTATGTTATAAGAAACTGCAATTTCTAAATAATTAGTCAAGTTAAATATTTGAAAATTAAAAGTGACATGTTTCTAGGAAAAACAGACAAACTATAATAAAAAGTATATTAATAACTTGAGCATTTATATGTAGAACCTTTAAAAATTTGCTGATAATATTTCTTTCAAATAATATATTAAATCATTATGTGTATATATATTCATACACATACACATATATATATGAGGTGACTTTATAAAGTGTGTGGGAAAATGTAGTTATAAGACAATAGAATTTTTCATAAATTTTTTGAAGGCCCCGCATGTGTGTGTATAACAGTGTCTGTGTGTATGTATATATATATATATATATATATATATATATATATATGCTATCTTACATATAGTAAACTCTGAGAGAAATATTTTCTCATAGGCCATTCCATGACCAGATGCTTAACAAGAATTTAAAAATATTTATGGGTTCTGACAAGAAACATAAAAGTAAACGGAAAGCATCCATGACTAATGCCCTACATCAGAAAATTTTATTACCCTTCTCTGAAAATTGGTGTCAACCTCAATAAATTATTGAAGTTATAAATGCTTGACTAATGGCTTAGAATGTGGCATACTTAATGTTGAACCCTCAGGAATTATGGAGTAGAAATAAAGGAAATGGACAGAAAACACCCTCCTTTTAGAATATTTTTCTTCTCTTTAGTTTTTTTTAAATAACATTTCAACATAGGCAATAGGAAGGAGTAAATGTTTAATTGGCTCACCAGATTGTAAACATATTTTCTGATCAAAAGTTAAACAATAGCTGTGTGTTATCTACTGAACAGTCAAAGAAAAGTTTATTCCAACTCATAGTGACCCTTCACACACACACATACACAAAACAAACAAACAAACAAGCAAAAAACTACCTACAGCTTAACTATCCCTCTGGTGTATTTGGGGCATCATATCTGAAGCATGCAAGATTATATGCAGGGATATTTGTTTCAATCTAATGTACAAACAGCCCACATTTCAGAAAATGACTTTTTTCTCCCCTTCAATTGCAGGTGTCAACTCCCAATTGGCTTATAGCATTGCTTCAGGTGATAGCTTCGGACAGTTTACAGTGGACAAGCATGGAGTACTGAAAGTTTTAAAAGCTTTGGATCGGGAAAGCCAGTCCTTTTACAACCTGGTGATTCAGGTGCACGACCTACCACAACCTCCAGCCTCCAGATACACAAGCACCGTTCAAGTCTCCATTATTTTATTGGATGTGAATGATAACCCACCATCATTCCTTTCCCCAAAATTGACATACATTCCAGAAAACACTCCAATTGATACTGTTGTTTTCAAAGCTCAAGCAACAGACCCAGATAGTGGTCCAAACAGTTATATTGAGTACACATTGCTAAATCCGTTGGGAAACAAGTTTAGCATTGGGACCATTGATGGTGAAGTGAGGCTCACTGGAGAACTGGATAGAGAAGATGTGTCTAACTATACTCTAACAGTGGTGGCTACAGACAAAGGTCAACCATCTCTCTCTTCATCTACAGAGGTTGTAGTTATGGTACTGGATATCAATGACAACAACCCCGTTTTTGCACAGACTCTATATAAAGTGGAGATTAATGAAAACACTCTTACTGGAACAGATATAATCCAAGTATATGCAGCAGACGGGGATGAAGGTACAAATGGACAGGTCCGCTTTGGCATTGTTGATGGAAATGCCAATCAAGAATTTCGGATTGATTCTGTCACAGGCGCCATCACTGTGGCGAAGCCTTTGGATAGAGAGAAGACCCCAGCTTACTTTTTATCTGTTCAGGCAACAGACCGGGGCAGTAGCCCAAGAACGGATACCTCCACTGTCAACATTGTCCTATTGGATATTAATGATTTTGTTCCAGTATTTGAACTCTCTCCATATTCTGTGAATATCCCGGAGAATTTAGGAACACTGCCTAGTACAATTCTTCAGGTCAGTATATTTAAACAAATCTTGTTTCACTAAGATTCTTCACATGAAAATCACTCTTCTCCCACTGTGTTCGTATTCCATCCACCTTGTTCTTCATGGTCTACTATAGTTGCTCAATTTCAAATATAACAAATCTTGAAAAAAAAAAGGCCTATAAGAATGATGCCCACAAATTTAAAGTTTCCCATAGCTTAGAATATTGCATCTTCGTCATAGATATGTTTATTCATGCAGATATTGACATATTTGTTAATTTTGAATTTCAGCCTTTGTATTATACTAAACATATAATATTTCATCAATTTCCTCATGTGAAATTTAAAATGTTAATAGCAATAATTGCACATAATAACAAAATAAGAATTTTGGAAAATTAGCTGCAAAAGTTTTTTCCTTCATCTACAAGTCTTATGGGCTAGATAAAACTATTACTAATATTTTGTGAAGTCTTCCAAAAACACTATACAAATATATACCTACATTTTTACAAATATAGTCATATGCAGTATATACTATTCTGCATAATTTTTTAACCTGAAAACATCAAAATATATCTTTGAAATCTTTCCATCAAGACAAATAACTTTGCCTCCTTTTATTTTGAGGGTTAAACAATGTATCCAGTTCTGACATTATGCCAGTTGTACTTACATGTATTATTCTCTTCAATAGGTGTTGGCAAGAGATGATGATCAAGGTTCCAACAGTAAACTCTCCTATGTGCTATTGGGTGGTAATGAAGACAATTCTTTTATCCTCTCAGCCAGTGGAGAACTTAGAGTAACACAGAGCCTAGATCGGGAAAAGAAGGAGCATTTTGTTTTGACCGTCACAGCTACAGATTCAGGTAAAACAGTTGTAACCTTAATTGTGAATAGTTTGTGTAATATGAGTAGCAGAAAATATTTTGTGCTCATTATTAAATAGCATTTGATATCTCCTACTACTTGAAACTTTCTAGTATATCTCTATAACTTATAATACTACATATATAACTTTATAAAATGCATATGTTTGTGGTAAGGATTTAAGCACGTCAAAGGCAAAATCTATTCCTGTAAGAAAGCCCTTGCACTGTAAGCTGTCTGAAATATCTGAGTAATGATACTTTACTACTTGAGCTCGGATACATGTTAGTTTTGAAAACATCCAGAATGGCTCTAGCTGGTCATGGAGATACGTCTTCTAGGTTTTCTAATATTGCAACAACAAAAACAAAAATTGAATATTTAATGAAGCCTGATGGAGCTCCTAGAAGACTATATTTGTGAATTATAAGTTTTTCAATAAGTAACTTCTGCACTGAACTACAAGAGAAATAATGAACAGCACAATCATTCCCTTTCAGAGTTGATTGGAAATAGTTATTACATGAAAATATACCAGAAATATCATAAAATAATATTCATTGAAATCTGCTAATGTTACCATTTACCATATATATATATAATTTTATTGGGGGTTCATACAACGCTTATCACAATCCATACATACATCTATTGTTTCAAGCACATTTGTATATTTGTTGCCATCATCATTCTCGAAACATTTGCTTTCTACTTGAATCATTGGTTTCAGTTCCTCATTTTTGCCCTCCCTCCCCACTCCTCCCTCCCTCATGAACCCTTGATAATTTATAAATTATTATTATTTTGTCATTTCTTACACTGTCCGACTTCTCACTTCACCCACTTTTCTGTTGTCCGTCCCCCAGAGAGGAGGTTATATGTAGATCCTTGTAATCGGTTCCCCCTTTCCACCCCACCCTCCCTCCACCCTCCTGGTATAGCCACTCTCACCACTGGTCCTGAAGGGATCTTCTCTACTGGATTCCAGTTCCTATCTGTACCAGTGTACATCCTCTGGTCTAGCAAGGTAGAATTCAGATCATGATAGTGGAGGGGAGGAAGTATTTAAGAACTAGAGGAAAGTTGTATGTTTCATCTTGCTACACTGCACCCTGATTGGCTCATCTCCTTCCCACGAACCTTCTGTAAGGGGATGTAAAGTTGCCCACAGATGGGCTTTGGCTCCCCTTCATTCACCATGATTTGATTTTTTGTTCCTTGATGCCTGATCCCTGATTCCTTCCACAACTTGTAATCACACAGGCTGGTGTGCTTCTTCCATGTGGGCTTTTTTGCTTCTGAGCTAGATGGCGGCTTGTTTACCTTTAGATCTTTAAGAACCCAGGTGCTATATCTTTGGATGGCCAGGCACCATCAGCTTTCTCTACCACATTTGCTTATGCACCCATTTGTTTTTAATGATCATATCAGGAAGGTCAACACACAATGATAAGATTTTTTGTTTGTTGATGCCTGATCCCTGATCCCTTTGACACCTTGTGATCACACAGGCTGGTGTGCTTCTTCCATGTGGACTTTGTTGCTTCTGAGCTAGATGGATGCTTGTTTACCTTCAAGCCTTTAAGACCCAAGACGCTATATCTTTTGATAGCCGGGCACCATCAGCTTTCTTCACCATATTTGCCCATGCACCCATCTGTCCTCAGCGATCATATCAGGAAAGTGAGCACACACTACTATGATTTTTTAAACACTTACTATCTGTAAACACTGAATGCTTTTAACTCAAACTTGAAATGATGAAAATTTCATTAAAGAAATATTGGGGCCTGATTACAGTGATAATTGCTTAAATACACTTTCATAAATGGATTAATGAAAAAGACGTAATTTAGTTTTTAAAAGATTTGTGAATTATAAGACTCTTATAGTGTTCATTTGTAGAAGTGAATGTCACAACTCAGCTTGTATTAGAAAACCTAAAAACATGAACAATTTTGGTAAAATTAAAACACATATTTGTTGAAATTCTTAGATCAAGGTAGTTTTGTTCGACTATGAAAGGACTGAAGAAAACAATTAGCGGGCTTCACAAAGTTCATAAGAAAATGGAATTAAAAGATAAAAATCAAAATATAAACTTCATTCTCAAAATAGCTCTATCAAGATTGAGACACTTCTGTAAGTGATGATACCAGCAACCTGGTGCTCTCCAAATAATTGAGTGTTCTTAGAATTTAACTATGTTACCTCAGTGATTTTTTTTTGTATTGTTTAATGAAGAAAAATAAACCCAAGTCACCCTCCCTGCCCTCAGGTCAATGCTGACTCATAGCAACCCTGTAGGGCAATGCAGAACTGCTCCTATGTGTTTCCAAGACTGTAACTCTTTATGGAAGTAGAGAGCTCTGTCTTTCTCCCAAAGAGTGACTGGTGGCTTCAACCTGCTGACCTTGCTATTTCCGGACATACTCCAAGAAAATTAGGTGTCCTTTTAAAAAACTTTTTTTTTTTCAGATTAGGAAACAAAAAACTATCAGTGGTAGCTTTATTGTGCCAACCTGGCCAATAGGAACATGTGGGATTAATCAGGTCACAGTTTGATTGGAGGGCAAAGAGATAAATGGCTTTGCAAGGCCCACCCCCGCTCTCTTACTCTCTGATGATTGGAGGATGCTGGAATATGTTGCTGCTTTAGCTAGTTCTCTACCTCAACTTGTTAGCTACACTACATCTGGGCATAGCCAACCCCTAGATCATGTTGCTAGAGCTTGAGGCTCCTTCAAGATCTGCTTCCCCATGCTGCTGGTGTGTACATCACTTGAGCTTGAGGCTTCTGGAACTTGTAACCTTGCATTATCCCATCCAGACTTGCTTCATTAAGCTCCTGATTGACTAAATGTTTGTGACCCACCCTATTGTTTTCTGCCTGTGGGCATATTCTGCTTGCCTTGCCCATGGGAGGACTCTACTGTCTGCATCCTTGACCTTGGACCCAACAGCCCATGTGAGTTGATGGACTTCCAGTATATTAACTGTTCCACAGAGATGAATTGAACTGAACCCTCTGTACTGCTGTACTAATTAGCTGTTACATTCCTTCTTGCTGCTTAAATCTATCTGTCATCTATCTATGTATCTATCTATCATCATCATCTATGTATCTATCTATCTCTATCATCTATCTATCTATAGATCTTCTATCATCTATCTGTCTATAATCACATGTCCTGGTTTTATTTCTCTAGAGCATCCTGCATAACACAATATCAGAAGGGGGGAAAATCCAGAAGGTAAAGTGCATGCTTCATGATTAGGCATTAGGTTCTCACCATTCTGATTTGGCTCCTTCTGACTCTCACAAACTAGTCCTTGTTAATGAAAGGAATAAGCATTTTTGTATGGGAGGACTCTCTGGTGAGGTTTCCTCTGACAATGCCCAGCTAAAGTTTTGACTAACTTTCTCAAAACACTCTTCTAATGTTGTTGTTCTTATTAGGTGCCATTGAGGCAGCTCTGGCCCATAGTGACCCTATGTAAAGCAGAATGAAAACACGATGTGGTCTTGTGCCATCCGCATAGCTGTCCCTATGCCTGAGCCCATTGTTGCAGTCACTGTGTCAATCCATCTAATTCTGGGCCTTCCTCTTGTCTGCTGCCCTTACACTTTACCAAACATGATGTCCTTCTCCAGGGACCCGTCTCTCTTGACAGTATATCTAAAGTATGTAAGATGAAGCCTTGCCATCCTTGCCTCTAGGGAGCTTCCTATCCTTAACTTCTTGCAACCCAGATTGGTTTGATTTTTAATAGTCCTGGGAGTATTTAATATTCTTCTCTAGCAGCACAATTAAAATGCATCAATTCTACAGCCTTCCTTATTTACTGTCTATCGTTCACTTGCATATGATGCAATGGAGAATATCATAGGTTGGGCCAGGTGCACCTTAGTCCTCAAAGTAACATCCTTGTTCTTCAGTACAGAGGTCTTGTGCAGCATATTTACTGAATGCAAAGTCTTTTGATATCTTCAGTGCTGCTTCCGTGAGCATTGATTGTGGATCTAAGCAAGACAAAATCTTTGACAACTTCAACTTTTTTCCATTTATCATGATGTTACTTATTGTTCCAGATTGATGATTTTGGTCTTCCTTACATCAAGTTGTAATCCATACTGAAGGCTATAATCTTTGATCTACATCAGCAAGCGCTTCAATTCCTCTTCACTTTCAGCAAGCAAGGTTGTGTCATCTTCATATTGCAGGTTGTTAATAAGTCTTCCTCCAATCCTGATGTCACGTTCTTCTTCATAGAATCCACTGAACTGATTATTTGCTCAGCATATAGATTGAACAAGATGGTGAGAGTATACAACCCTAATGCATACTTTTCTGATTTTAAGCCATGAAGTATTCCTTTGTTCTGTTCATACAATTGCCTCTTGATCCATGTGCAAGTTCCAAATGAGTGCAATGAAGTATTCTGGAATTCCCCTTCTTCTCAAGGTTATCCGCATTGTGGACTCACCTGCTGAGCACATGGTATCACCAGGTATACCTGGTGGTATAATGGTTACACATTGAGCTGATAAATTAAAAGGGCAGCCTTTCGAAGCCACCAGTCATTCCACTGGAGGAAGACAGAGCTTATTACACCCAGAAAGAATTACAGTCTCTGAAACTCAAAAGGGCAGTTCTATCCTGCCCTATATGGTCACTAAGAATCAGCATTGAGTTTTTTATTATAATTCTTTGGCCCGTCAGAAGGTAAACAAGAAAAATGCCTTGACATGACCTCTACTCTTATTGGTCTGCTTTTTCTTTGACTGAACCACTTCTGTCCAACCCTTGGTAGCGATTTCTTTGATTGTGTTTTGACTTCAGGATCATCCTCGTTAAGCCATGTTTCATTTTTGATGACAATTTTTCCAAGAATTGATTTAGCACCTTGATCCTACTTGTTTAAAATTTCCATAAAAAATGTTTATCACTAGCTGATCTGGGTACTATAGTTTTAGACCTCACTGAGTGGAAAGTTT